TTGTATGTTATTATTTTAGTTGTAAATAATAAATAAAAAACTGAATACAAAAAAAAAAAAAAAAACGTGTGATAACTTATACACATACCGCCGAAGTAAAGTGAACTTGTGTGGTGAAATACATAAATAAATAAAACCAAAAGGCTCAATTAATATACGCCGGTGTCAACATATATATTTTTTTGTTGTGTGCCATTTGTTTTTTATTTCTCCACGCGAAGTTCACAGGCCTGCACAGTTGTATATGCCAAATTCTAAAATACAGTCCACTCATCGTGTTCCCACTGTACCATAAGGCGGAACATCCAACACATGCCCCCACACAAATCCGCTCTGCTTGGCCATATATAGATAAATATTTTCTGCCTCAACTATATATTTTTTTGTACGCCGCAACAGTGCCGTTAGCGGTGTTCCACTGTGCAAACAAAGACCGCTCAACCATACATATATTTTTGCATGCGTATCCAACTCCATACATATGTCATTATATTTTCTGCCCGCCCATACAGGAATTAAATTACAATAAAACCAACAAACGAAAATAACCAAGATAAGAAATTCACGTGCAAGTTTTTTATTTCTCCAAATCCGCACAACCGCCGCAGCAGACGTTTTGTTGATGTTTTTTTGTGTTCCGCTTTGTTCTCGCTCCTGAGCTCTTCGCTTATACGGGGTTTTGCCGACGGCAAAACCAAACTTCGATTTACGGTTAGTTTCGGATTCCCGCGCTGACCGTCGCATCAGCCGCGCTGGTGTGGTTGTTGTTGTTTCGGTTTTCTGTGCCTTTATCTCTCGTCAGCGCCTAGCTTATGCACGGCTGTGCCGACGGCATAATACAGTGCGTTTTCCAAGTTAACGCCAAGGGTATTTTTTTTTTTAATTCCGCCTTTTCGGCGCCGTCGTATTTACGTGCAACTAATTAAATACTTCACGCTAATTATTTCCCACACTAAAAATTAATTTTTTGTTCCAAGCCAGCGCCAAGGGTTATTTTTTTTTTAAGTCAGCCTTTTCGGCGCGGTGGTAATTACGTGTCAGTAATAAAATACTTCACGTTAAATTATTTCCAACATTAAAAATTAATTTTGCCTCTCTTTATTACGGAGTATAATTAATATAGAAAGTTTCCAATTCATACATACAAGTTCCACGTCCGAACCACGGAATATACGTATATAAATATAAAACTGGCTCCTAAAATCCAGAGCCCGGGTCCGACATTCAGCACTAATTCGGCCAGCAGCAGCAATCGTTGCAATCGCTTCCCATCATCATTTGTGGTTCGTTGCCGAACTTCTCCGCTGAGGACTTTGCTCTTGTTTTCTTTTCGCTTGCCGTTGACATTTTTCTTGTCGCTGGTGCTGTGTCCACTGGCTTTACGCGAACCAAAGTTGGGTCGTCTTTCCTTCACAATTCGTGTGTATTTCCTGCGGCGACCAACTGATTCACGACCCATTCGACTTCAAGGATGCCCACGGGAGACGAGGAACAGACTCCTCTGATTCCAGCAATCACTCTGGAAGGGTCCCAGTCCGGATCTCCTCGGCCTGATCAATTAAAGCCTAAGGCGGCCACTACCACTCCAAGGGCAAAAAGTCAAGAGGCACTCTACACTGCCCCCAGTACCTCATCCAGATCTACGCGATCCGTGTCCAAGATGGCTCAAAAGGCGATAGATATTGCCCTGAAGAAATTTATTGCCACAACAGACCGTGTTAGCCACTTCGAGGCTAACCTGCACACTCCGGCTGCCCCTGACACGGACAGATTGCCCCCTGGCATGTGCCAAATCCACCGGGACCAAATTCGGGCCCTGTGGGAAAAGGTGGAGAAAAGCTATGAAAGCTGCTCCGACCTCCTTGCCGAATCCGACGACCCTCCGACCATTGCATCAGAGCTAGAATCGAAGTATAGTTACTGCTATTCTGTGTTTTCGAAGTGTGTGTTTCAGCTGCAGGACGGAATTGACAGGGCCGCCTTCCAACCCACACAGGCTTCCGCCAGTAGTCAACCACCCCCTTCTACGGGTTGTCGTCTGCCACCAGTGGACACAGAAGTCTTCACTGGGGACTATATTCGGTGGCCAACGTTCTGAGACCTTTTTACGGCGATCTATATCCAAAATTCGCGTCTCACACCGGTGGAAAAGTTATTCCACCTACTTTCGAAGACAAGCGGCGATGCTCATGCCATCGTTTCAAAGGCCCCTCTGACCAACGAGGGTTTCGTCTCAGCATGGAGAAGCCTTTCCGAACTCTTTGAAAATAAGCGATTGTTAGTCAACAGTCAGTTGAAGATTCTTTTTAACATCCAGGCTGTTCTTCAAGAATCCGGAGTCGCTCTAAAAGAGCTCCAAGGCACAATTCAAGGTTGTTTGACCGCGCTACAAATGTCCTCCATTGAAGTCGAGGCGTGGGACTGCCTTCTTGTGTATATGGTCTCCTCGAAGCTTCCCAAGATTACGCTTTCCTTGTGGGAGCAATCAATTCACAATAAGGCCGAAATTCCAACCTGGCGTGAGTTGAACGCGTTTCTGACCGAGCGCCATCGCACTTTTTAGGCCATCGACGACGTCAGGCCTAGCGGCTCTGGGCATTTTCCGCCAAGGTCAGCAAATGCCAATCCACCGGTGGCAGGCTCAATTCGTACGAAACTAGGGTGGCTCCAACACCGAGAAGGTGTAATCTATGTTCCAGAGAAGACCACCCTATCCGTATATGTCCGCTTTTCCTAGACATGAATGTCAATGAGCGGACAGACTTCATCCGAAGAAAGCAACTCTGCTTGAATTGTTTTTCGCGAAGGCACCAGCAACGGGACTGTACTAGTGCCCATTCCTGCTTTACGTGCCACAGCCGGCATCATACTCTGCTGCACCGCGACAACCCTGCGGCTACCGTTTCAAGACCCTCCGCTCCATCTAGTCCACGACCCGCACCCATTGCGAGAAGCGCTGCAGCCTCCGACGACCACTCTAATGTGCAAGTCTGCTTTGCGTCAGGATCAAAGGCTGTCCTGCTCGGTACGGCGATTATTGACATCTGCCATCTTGGCCGCACCTTCCAAGCGCGAGCCCTGATCGATTCAGGTTCTGAAGCGACCTTTATTACTGAGAGGCTTCTCAATATCGTAAAACTTCCATCCCAGCCAACGCAGACCCAAGTTTCCGGTCTCAACGATACAGTTGCCGCTCAAGCCACAAAGCTCTGCAAATTTTCAATTCACGCTCCCTCCAGACCCGGGCTGCAGTTACAAACGACAGCTTATGTTCTTCCTCAACTCGCTGGAAAACTTCCCTCATAGCCAGTTCCGAGAGATTTCCTAAAGCAGCTTCCTGATCTCCCCTTAGCGGATCCAGCGTTCTTCGAGAGTTCTGATATCGACGTCCTAATTGGAGCTGACATACTTCCGTCTGTGCTTCTGGGCGGTTCCAAAAATAACATCTTCGGCTCTCTCCTGGCCCTGTCTGTCTTCTCGACACGAATTTCCGTTTCGTCAAAAAGCTCACCGGAAAAATTCCTTGCCGCTCGCAGTGCTGCTGGCCTGGAGAGCAGACGTACCCGAGGTACGCAGTCCTACCGTTGCCGAGTCTGCAGCGGATTCCACCCGCTCCGGAAATGCCAACAGTTCCTGAAACTCTGCGCTGAGAAGAGGCTCCGTGCGGTTCTCGACCACCGCTATTGTTCTAACTGTTTGGCCCACGAACATTCCGAGGGAACCTGCCGCAGCGGTGATCAATGCAAGACGTGCAATCAGCACCACGACACTCTCCTGCATCCGCATGACCGCCCAGAGCATCCACTCCGCTCGCAGCATCGGTCATGTTCACGCCAGGAGGCCCTGTTCCCCCTCTGCCCACCGAGCGTCCAGAAGCTTAAGCGCTTCCAGCTTAGCAAAGCTCGCCCGCTTTCCGCTCCTCGGTATTGCCGATCGCACGCTCCCGTGTTTCCGATCGTCGCTCGCTTCTAGGGACGGCTACGCCGCTCTAATTCACGGTTCTCCCGCTCTCCCGCTCTCGCGCCGTTAAGCTGGGCTTCTCGGCCGGCAGCGGGCCCTTAGGCTAAGCTAAGTTTAGTTCCAATACGAATGTCAATAAATGCATGCAAAGGGCGCTCCATGCCAACGTCATTTTTCGACCCCCGAATTTCTGGACCTTTTTTCTGCGTTTCTTCTTCGTGGGACGGATTTTTCTACTGATCCTTTTGCGGAGGATATCCTAGCCACCCCACTCCTAAACAATTACTTATGATGGAAGCTCTATTTAATTACATATATACTTATGATTTACATTTAATAATATTGAATGTAGGTATATATGACAATATATATATTCAATATTTAAATTTCGCGTGCTGGCAGGACGCCAAAAGAATGAACGAGAGAGGGGGAAAGGGTAAACAAAAAGGGGAACCTACTTGTCCACATACGCAACCGGAAGCGTAGCAGCCATGGTGATCTGCTGCTGTCAAATTCTAATAATTAAAAGTATGATTAAAATGGGTGGTAAGGGTGCGACAATCCAAGGCAAAGTCAACAGGGCAACTGTTGATGAATATTCCTTGGCTCTAATGGTACACCAAGTCGACTCGCAGGTGAATATCAGTCTGACAGACACCACCTTCTCCTCGGAGAAGGTCCTCCGCGTGGTACCTCCTGTAAACGTACTACGGTACGGCCAATGCGAGCGGCACCTCCTGTGAATCCCGCACCCAATAATCCTCTGACTCCCAATCCCTACCAAGACATGGGCAAGTCATGAAACTGCCTCCCCTCAAGTCAGGCGTGTAAAGCGACCCGTGCCCACTGACAATAAGGTTCGCAGCTGAGGGGGCAAACCAGCTGTGTTAGAACGGAGCCTTCCCAGGGCCGGGCAACCCTGGGTCGGAACGAGCCTTGCCGTGGCTTAGGGGCGAAGCCACGGTCGACCTTACTTCAATGCCCCAAACCCCTCGGGCCCGCCGCGCTCGCCCTGTCGAGCAACGCGGGCGTTTATGAACATGAACTCAACCAAAAAATCCGCTTCGGACCTCGTGGGGGAGGTAAAACCCCAACAACCGGCGACTGAGAGTGAATTGGACGAGGAGGAGCTACTGCCCTCAGATGATGAGACTCTGGCTCCGTCCTTTTCAGAGGGAAGTGCTAAGACCAGCACACCTCAAGCGACACAACCAACGACAAGCAAAGCAGCGGCAAGCCAAGCCAAAGCGACGGGCGAACACGGGAAGACAAAACCGTGGACCAACCAACAACGAAAGGCGCAAGCGAGCAAGGCCCATTTCATCCTCGCCAAAATAGCAAGGAATGAAAAGGAGGGCAAAGCCGATCCGCGCGACCTAGCAGACAAAGCTAGGTACCTCGCAGTGATCGAGGAGTATGAGCGATACGAAAAGGAGCACCCAGAAACGCTTTTGCCTCCCCAAACGAAGCGCAACCGCTCACAAGAAGTGAGCGAGAGCGCTCTGAAGAGAGCCAAAGACGCAAAGGGCGCACCAAGACCGACCACTTATGTCAAGACGGCGAAAAAGTTCAGCGAGGTGGCCCGAGATAGCCTCGCTATGGCACTTGTTGATGAGCTCAACGACGATGGGCGCCTTCTGATGGAGAAATGGGAGGAGGTCGAGACCCAGTTGGCAGAGATGGTGACTGACAAACTACTGTCCGAGCCAACGGGCCAGTCACCCTCCTTTGACTTTTCGGATATGGTTAGGGGGCACCGGGTAATCAGGTGCGACGATGAGTACTCGCGGGACTTCCTGGCGGATTGCGTTGCCAGACTAGGCAAAGCATGGAAGGGGATTAGCATTAAGCTGGTCCCCGCCAAGGACATCCCAAGGAGACCCAGAGCTCGCATTTGGTTACCCATGGGGCTGCCTAGCCATGAAAGGGTGCTCAAGACTCTGCGTGCGATGAACAAGGGAGTCGACATGGAGGACTGAGCCATTCTCAAAGCTGAACGAGAAATGAAGTCCAGCCAGCGATATCTGTTCCTGATCAACCAGCGCTGCCTAGAACAGCTGAAGGCAGCAGAAAACAAAGTCCGGTACGGCATCAGGAAAGCCAAGGTGAAGGTCTTCCTAGACGAACCGGACGATATTCTGGAAGACGAAGTCGAGGACGCCAATAAGCTGCTGGACGATTTGGCGATCGACGACAGCACCCCCAACAACAGAAGGACATCGACATCGGCCTTATACAAGAGCCATGGACAAGAGACGGACGAATCTCTGGCATGGCCATAAAGGGATACACAACATTATACACAAACTCGACAGGTAGGCCGAGGTCGGGTATAATCATTAAAAACAATCTTAATGCTCTTCTCTACCCCAATCTCAGCAACTTAGATCTAGCAGTGGCAAGATTCAAGGCGGCTGATGGGACAGCCATACTAATAGCCTCCGGATATATGGCCCACGACGAACCTGCACCACCTGAAGCGTTTACTAGGGTGACGACGCTCATCCTCGGGTGCGATGCCAACGCAAGGCACACACTGTGGGGAAGTAGGGAGACAAACGAAAGGGGTGAGTCTCTCTTCTATAGTATTATATATCGTGACGTCACTATTCACACGCCCACCTTCATCTTTCCAAGTACGGAAGGATTTCAGGGCTAGGAAGAAGTCCTAGACATAACCCTCCAAATGGAGCATAGCGATTATAAGGTAAGAAACTGGAGAGTCTCTACACAAGACTCGTTTTCAGACCACAGGTACATATTCTTCGAAATCGTGATGCCGATATGTGAAACGGCGCCGAAGCGAAACCCTCGTAACACTGACTGGGACAAATACGGAAAGATTGTACAGTCAAAGGTCAAAGACAGAAGGATCAAGACTCGATCCACCCCGGAGAGAATAAATAAGGAAGTAGAGGACTTCACAAATATTCTGAACAAAGCCTACAAAGAGTCATGCAGACTAACATACTCTAAGATGACATACCCACCATGGTGGAACAAAGAGCTATGCGAGCTCAGAAAGAAAGTTCGAAAAGCCTTCAACACTAGTTACGGAACCAAAGACTGGCAGCCGTACAAAGCAATACACAAAAAGGCAATCTACGTAGCCAAGAAGGAATCTTGGAGCAGCTACTGTGAATCGCTTGAAGGAGTCAAAGACACGGCGAGGCTAAGTAAAATCCTATCGAGAGGAAACACAAGCCCCACGCTCATAAATAAACCCGACGGGACAGGAAGTACGTCGGCTGAAGAGTCTCTGGAAATCCTGCTGAATACGCACTTCCCAGGAAACCAAAAAGAAGAACCTAGAACAATGGAAAGCCAGGGGGCAGACCAGCACTTACAAATAAAAGAGATCATCACCATGGAAAGAATCCATTGGGCGATAGATTCCTTCGACAAATACAAAAGCCCGGGTCCGGACGAAATCATACCAGCAATGCTACAAACAACAAAAGCAAGCACGGGAAAATGGCTGCAAGCAATCTTCCAGGCATGCATTAAAACAGCACACATACCACTTCCATGGAAGGAAGCGAGGGTAGTCTTCATACCAAAACCAGGAAGAAGCGGACACATCCAAGCCAAGGATTATAGGCCGATAAGCCTTACCTCTTTTCTAATAAAAACACTGGAAAGGATCATTGATATCCACATCAGAGAAAGAACGGAGAAAAACCTTTCCAATGCGCAACATGCGTACAGGAAAGGCCGATCCACGGAAACAGCATTACACGAGGTAGTGCGATACATAGAAAAGGCTCTACTTTTCAAAAACTACGCCATTGCCACCTTCCTGGACATAGATGGAGCCTTTAATAACGTCAATGCGGATTCCACCCTGAGTTCCCTCAACGGTATAGGAGTAGAGGGAGGCATCAGGGCATGGATTGGCGCAATGCTGACGCAGGAGGATAAAAGCCGAACTGAGTGGCACTCATCACACAAGATTTGTGAAGAGGGGCACACCTCAGGGGGAGTCCTGTCCCCACTGCTCTGGCTGATAAACATGGACGACGTACTAAGAACACTAAATAGCGAAGGAGTAAAAGTGGTAGCATACGCAGACGACGTAGTCCACTCACTTCAGGACCATTCCCCGACGTCATCAGCGAACTAATGACAAGGGCACTCACTAAACTCAATGCATGGGCAAAAGCCTGCGGATTGGGCATAAATCCAAGTAAAACGGAACTAATGCTCTTCACTAGGAGAGTTAAGGTCCCTAGCTTCACAAAGCCATAGATAGATGGCATAGAACTAGAGATATCACAGCAGGCAAAGTATCTGCGAGTGATACTGGATGCGAAACTGTCATGGAAACAAAACATCAACGAGAGAGTCAAGAAAGCAAGCATAGCATTCTATTCCTGCAGGAAGATGTTCGGAAAGAACTGGGGCATCCACCCCAAGATAATAATATGGCTTTACACAGCGGTGGTAAGACCCATACTCACATACGGAGCACTAGTATGGTGGCCAGCATTAACTAGGGCATACAACGTCCAGAAGCTAACAAGGATACAGAAATCGGCATGCGCAGGAGCCACGGGAGCACTGAGATCATGCCCCGCAGCGGCGCTGAACGCCATCCTGAACATAATACCGATAGAGCATTTCATCAGGAACACTGCAGCACAAGGTGCGGTACGACTTAAACCTAGTCAAAGCTGGAAAGACTACCACACCGGAAACTGCAGGATTCTGAACGAGATAAACTATCGGACGACAGTAGACACAGACCACATGACAAACGAACTGCGATTCGGTAACACATACACCACTATATACCCTACAAGGGAAGACTGGAAGAGAGGGAGAGTAACCGAACCGGATGAGGTATCACTCTACACCGACGGCTCAAAGATGAGCGGCGGGGTAGGGGCTGGAATCTACGCCGAGAGCTGGAAGGTGGAGGAATACTTCCACCTCCCAGAGTCAGCGACGGTTTTCCAGGCGGAGGTTCTCGCGATACTGAAAGCTGCCGAACTTTCGCTAGACTGAGGCCTCCGGAATACCAAGGTGAGGATATACTCCGACAGCCAGGCGGCGATCAAATCCCTCGCACAAGCACGGACGAATTCAAAACTAGTGGCCAAATGTAAAGGGGCACTAAACAGACTAGCAGAAGACAACAGGGTACAAATAGCCTGGGTACCCGGACACAATGACATAGACGGAAACGAGAAAGCAGACGAGCTGGCCAGAAAAGGGTCAGAAGAACACTCAGCAACAACAGGCATACAGATCTCCCTGAACTCAGTCCAGACGGAAATTCATGACCATTTCAAACAACTAGCCAGCAAGGAATGGTCGACGAAAGCAGAGCACAGAGGATCGAAACTATGCCAGAATTCAATAGGAAGAGAACCGCAGAACTGATCTCCAAGAGCAAAAAGGACATCAGGAGGATAGCGGCAACCATCACCGGCCACTGGCCAATAGGCACGCAAGCCTGTAAGATGGGTCTACCCTACAACACACAATGCAGAAGCTGCAAGGAACCAAGCGAGCAGGAGACATCAGAGCACCTGTTGTGCCACTGCCCGGCACTCAACAGACAAAGAGCCAGACACTTCGGAGCACACCAACTCGAGTCACTAGGGGAAGTTGGAAGGCAGCCAGTAGCGGCCATCCTAGCTTACCTGAATGACACGGGCTGGTACTAAGAAGGGCGGAGACAACAGCAAATTGAGGGTGTGGATCAAAACGGAGCTCAGCTCTAATTGGAGGCGGCCAGGGCGGCCTCACCACTTATACCTACCTACCATAATTAAAATGTTCCCATTTAATAATAAGATATATCCAAGCAAGTATTTAGTTGACTTTAATTTAACACAACGCTGCCTTCCGTGCAGTTTGATTTAATGTCAATTATTTTATTTGATTATTTTTTTTCCTTTACGTTACTCTAAGCCAAGCAGTCAACAACAACCGTTTTGTGTCTGCATATCAAATGTGGATCGTATGTTAAGTTAATTTTCAAGCGCAAGGCCAGACCGAAATACAGCTGCTAATTAGGTCATGGTTAGCAAAGCTTAAGAGGTAGAAGGGGAGGGAAAGAGACGGAACATAGCCGATCAGCGGCTTATCACTCACTCATGTGGTTGCGGGAATTCCAACGTCGAAAGCGCTTTCTTGTTCTGCAATCCCTGTAAAGTCACAGCACAAAAATATTTAGGGCACTATCCAGGTAAAAAGGCAGATCAACCACGAAAATAATGAATTAATTAATCATGAATTTTTTTAATTTAAACATTCTTTCCGTTTCCTTTCCTTTCTGCTTTCCTAAAAGATCGCCATTTAATTTTCAATCATATTTTATATATGGCTTCACTTTTAATTTTTCTTTTAGTGTAGCAGCTTATCGGTGGCTCTTCTTTTTCCTTTTCTTGTCACTTTTATTTCGCGCAATGCATGATATATTTCTTTCTCTTTTTAATTAGATCGGCATTGCCGGGAGCAAGAAAAGGAACGAGGATAGGTTAGAGGGGAACGGAAGATAGCGGAGGTTAACCTAGTTCATTGGCTTAAGTAATTTGGCAAATTAGTTAATTTTTTTCCACTGCCTCTGGTTTTCTTTAGATTATTAAATTTAGCTTTCGATTTTTAGCTTTAAATTTTTAGACCTCTATTAAACCTAACCAAAAAAAAATATTAATTCACACAAAAAAAAATGATCTCGGCTTCTATTGCCGAATCCGGGCGGAATTCCACCGGAATTTTCTCCAGGCCGATTCTCCGATGGCCGTTGTTGGGTCGGGTGCAGCTGCCACTTGGTAATTCGCTCGCCTGCAAACATAATTTCCCCTATAATGTGAGCATTAACTGACCCCTGGGCTGGTTAAACTCACCCAAATTTTTAAGACACAAATTAAGAAAATATAACACGGATAAATCCGCGCAAACTTTGCCTTTTATTTGGCTCAAAAAAAATTATGTAGCACCGTAAAAATTTATTACAATTTTGGTTCCA